TCTTCTTCTTCTTCTTCTTCTTCTTCTTCTTCTTCTTCTTCTTCTTCCTCTTCCTATTATTATTATTATTATTATTATTATTATTATTATTATTATTATTATTATTATTATTATTATTATACAACAATGTAAAGTCACAGCTGCCAGTTCTTTAGCTGGTATTGGCCTTCATATATAATAGGTTCTTCCCAAGAACCCAGAATGTCATAATGTATCAGCATAGTCTATGCGTAAATCTAAACAGCGTGGCCTTTTGCTATTAAAAGGTGGAAATGTTGTCAATCTGCCGATTTTTTAAGTGCTGTCCAAAAATTTTGGGAATGGGTTCAGTGTGCTGATAACCACTGGGCCATTATGGCTGGTTTATGTCATAATCTTTCAATTTTGATTTTCAGGTCTTGATACTTAGGGATCTTCTCCAGTCCTTTGTCTTCTGTTCGACATCTCCTGGTCTTGTCAGATCAATTACCCACTTTCTTTTTTTCAACCACATTTATATTAAAAGTCATTAGCTGCCCATCTGTGGTGGCGTGCATGTCATTGCTGTAGACTTAATTGAAATATGTGATGCCTGATGAACACATCTCTTTCTGTACAGAGGAACTGTCATTAAAGAACATGCAAGAATTAAAGAACATGCAGGAACACACATAGATTTCCATCAGGGATGGAACTTTTTGCTTGCAGTTATGTTTCCAGGAGGCAACAAGTTTTTCTTTCAGATCCTGCTTATCATCTCCCTGGAACATTGTAAGACTAGATTACATGGGTATTTGATATGAACCAACAAATCTCTTCTTATGTTCTTGTGGATGCTCATAACCGGATTGTGTGGATGATTATGCATTCTTTTGATACTCAGAGATATAGCCTTGCACACATATCCGCTATATTCTCAGTGCTGGTAACCTTTGATTTGGCCTTAAGAAGGAATCAGTGAAAGAAAGGATCCAGCACAGAGAGGATGTTGATATTATGTATGGACAATGGATAAGCTGCCTGGGAAAGCCAAGGGAAATAATCAAAACCATAAAAAAGTGAAAGTTAGAATATTTTGGACAAGTGATGCAACACCCAGAAAAATACAGCATATTTCATTTAATCCTCCAAGGAAAGATTGAAGGCAAACTAAGACCAGGAGAAGAAGAACATCATGCCTTCAAAATCTAAGGGACTGGTTTGGACAAACCTCAACAGCACAACAAAACTTTTTGTGTGGCTGTTGATAAAAACAGGATCGCCAATGTGACTGCCAACGTGATCGCCAACGTCTGATGATGGATATGGCACAAGAAGAAGAAAAAGGGAAGACACAACAGGGGCCGAAAGTAATGGGACTCAGGAAAGACAGAAGCAACATTAATTTGACAACTGGAGTGGCAGCCATTTTGAGGGGCAGGCCTGGCCAAGGAATGTTGTATTGTGGGGCACCACCGATTTTGTGCCAAGGTACCTTTCTATCTCAGCAGTATAGGCCTCTGCAAGTGTTAAAGGAGGTATCTGTCAGCCTCAAGATCTCTTCGGGTACCCCAACTATTATCCTTTATT